TCCTGAAAATTTTAGTTAAGTTTCAGTTGAGGGGATTGGCGAAATGGGTCTGCTGATCTGCTCATGAACTCCGCGTCCTATCACGTGGCATCCCTATCCACGTGGTTTTCGGGGCGACGGGTCGTTCGCAAACAGTGTGCAACAGCCAAGCACAGCTCTTTACAGCAGTGATGCTGGCATTTACAGGTCAGAAGCAGCGCATACGTTTTTGGTAAAAAACTTACCCAACCGTTTTAGATTTGTTATCGAACCTTCTGATACGTGAGGCACCTCACCCAACCGCAATCAAACGTACGCGCTGGTCAGAAGCATCTGACGCGGCTGGAGTTGGGGATTACGCGGAATTCGTTTATATTTGGCAGCGTTTCAGTGGTACGTTGCAGACTACACCAGCCCCCATTCACATTAGATTACACTTTAACAAACATGAAAACCCCAGGGCCATTACTAAAATACCACTACTTATACAAACAAGCAGCTTCACCCACAATCTTATGGAAAAGGGTCAAACGAGAAGGTAAATCCAAGCCATCTCCAAACCTACATAAACCCAGGAACGAATCTCAAGAACAAAAAGGCGTAGATCACTGAGAGTGCAGCTCCAATCGGGATGGTGACGAGCCACGATGCCACAATCTCTTTCACCACATCCCCCCTAACACTCCCAATACCACGTGCGAGGCCCACTCCCATCACCGCTCCAACGAGTGTGTGCGTGGCAGAGATCGGGAGACCCAGCCGAGATGCTACCACCACCACAGTAGCTGCTGAGAATTCTGCTGCAAAGCCTCTCGTCGGAGTGAGCTCGGTAATCCTGTTCCCGATGGTTGCAATGACACGGTAACCCCAGATGATAAGACCGGCTACAATACCAAAACCGCCCCAAATGAGAACCTGCGTGGCAACACCGGCGGAGACTGGAGCGGCAGCGAGGGATGAGGATATGATGGAGGAGGAAGAGGAGGCGAGGATGGCTAGAGCGGCGGAGATGGGGCCGATGGCATTGGCCACATCGTTGGCCCCATGAGCAAAAGACATGAAGCATGCGGAGAGCACCTGCAGGGAAGACGACAGACCGGGAGGCAAGGGAGTTGAAACGGCATTCAAACCAACCATGTGAATGATAGCTGTGATGCCTGTGTTTTGAAGCTGGAAGCCATAAATCTGAACCAGTGAGCACATGACAAGCAGGAAGTAGTATCACAAGACAGCACAATCACTCACCACATGAAGGTAACCTATCCTTCCCACCTAAATGTACCCATCGTTCTCACCTAAACATACCTTATCCCTCCCACCCACCCACCTGAAGGTACCCTATCTTTCCCACCTGAAGGCAATCACCCACCTGAAGGCAATTACCAGACGGCAAGAACAATGCGCAGCTGGTGTGCCCATGGGCCATGGGCCCGCAGCCCTTGAGTCGACTCAACAGCATACTCTTCTGCAAACCGACCATACACCGCCCATTCCTCCCACCTCAACGCAACCAATGCATCCCTCTCACCTGCAGGTATCCGAAGACACCATACACAATCCGCAGCTGGGTGCCCATGGGCCCGCGGCCCTTCTCCGGCTTGGGCTCGCCCGGCTGCTTGGGGATCTCGCAGAACTCCCCCAGCAGCTCGCCCATCTGCCGCTTGATCACTGCTGACATCGCCACCGCCGAGGCTATCCCCGCGCCCAGGGACAGCGCGAGCGCGCGCAGCAGGGCGTTGGGGGCCGTGAAGAGGGACGAGAAGGAGAAGGCGGTGACCCCCGCGAAGACCAGGATGGGCGCCGCGGTGGACGCCGCCTGGCCCGGGTTGGACGAGCTGTAGACGAACTGCGGGCGGGTGAGATGCAGTGCAAGTGAAGAGAAAAGAGTGGTTGGGGCATTGGGGGAGAGGAAAGACGCAGTCAAGTCAGTTAACCCGTGCAGGCGAGGATGGGCGCGGCAGTGGACGCTGCCTGGCCCGTGTTGGACGAGCTGTAGACGAACTGCGCGCAGGTGAGGTGGAGGTGAAGACGAAGGGTGAGGGGAGGGGAGATACCGGAAGGGGAGAGGGGAGAGGGGAGAGGAGATATGGAAAGGGGGGGGGGGGGGGGGGATGGACAAGCGGGGTGAGAGGAAGTGAGGGAGGGAGTGGAGGCTTTGGAAAACGCGTCGACTGGCGTCGGGAGCCGAGCAACCATGGTCAAGTAGCCCTGCTGAGAGAAACAATTAGACGTTGTTCCTCGTGAGGCGAATGCCCAGCCACATGACCACACCGCCACGTGGAGAAGCGTCAAACGGCAACTGCAAATTTTTCCCTTCTGCACGGTCTTTTACAGTCGTATGCCTGCAACAAGTACATTGTCAATGTAGAAACCGCGTGTAATGAGTCTGCTTTCGAGTCGACACAAAAGCATTCCCTTCTGCACGGACTTATACAGGCCTGTGCCTGCACGTCTCTGCTCTCATCATCGCTCGCTCTCCACCACCCTTCAACATCCATCTTTTAAGCGCCTCCAAATCCGGTTGAACTGAGACGATGTTTTAGGCGCATCGAAACTCGTTCTCCGCCCCCCTCAGCATCCCCCCGCTCTGATACCTCGTGTCATCCTTTGGTTGCTTGTTTGAACTTTCTAGTGAGTAGAGAAACAGCTTTTCTACCCGGCAGGACCCGTTCCTGCTTCCTCCCCTGCTGCCCTTTCTTGCCCGTCTCTCCACGTCATTACCGCTCGCAGTGAGTAGAGAGGAGGCAGCCATTCCTCAGCACCTTCGCAATCCACCTCCCACTTCAAAAATCGAGCACCGTTTCGTTTAAAAGGCACCGTCAGTCCTGTACGAAAGCCTCTACGAAAGTGACGAAAACCACGCAGAGTTGGACTATGGTCAACAATGATGATACACCTGATAAGTCCGTGCAATGCTGGCATCGCAATGCATTGCGGTACGTCCAGTCAAATGCCGTAAGGTCTGCATACCTTTCGGATACATTTGTAGACGATGTAGGCGATGCTGGCGCCGAGAAGAGGCGAGACCACCCACGATGACACCACTCGAGCGAGTGGACGACCAGTACACGGCATTCCAGCCGCCGAAGATGATGCCGAACCCGACCATGGCTCCGATGATGCAGTGCGTCGTCGACACCGGCCAGCCGAAGTACGAAGCGACCTGTGCGTTGCGAAGGAATGAAGGGCAAGGGTAGCAAGAAAAAAGGGGCACCATATGGACTCCAAGAAGAAGCCATTTACATCTTTTGATGGGCACACCATGTTTTTCCCCAGTGGGTAGATCACCATTGGTTTCCCTTCGCATCACATGTATCTGATTTATAAAATATATCTCCAACGTCAGCTGAATAATTTACAATCACAAGCAGCCTAATGAACACTTCGTTCCCGAATCGAATGGCCATTCGTACCTGAAGCCACGTCCCCGCGGCTGCCAGGGACGAGATCATCCCTGTGAAGAGCATCGCGTTCTTCCCAGCAAACACATTCGCCTTGATAATTCCGTTCTGCATCGTGTGGCTCACGTGCGATCCCACCAGGAACGCCCCGCCGAACTCCAGAATCGCCGCCGCTAGCACCGCTTGGCGGAGCGTCAGCGCTCCCGAGCCCACCGAAGTCCCCATGGCGTTTGCCACGTCATTCGCGCCAATGTTCCACGCCATGTAAAATCCCAGGATCAGCGTCAGGTAGGTCAGGCCCTTCAGGTGAGGCGACGCTGCAGGGTTCCACGCGCTCATGAAGAAGGGAGCTACTACAGCACCAATGCTGATTATTGCAGTGATCCCCATGGCCGTCTGAGGCGTAATTTCAAATGCTTCCGCCATGCTGCCTGACGATGAAACGGGACTGCTCTTAACGGATCCTCCAGTTGCTTGCAGCTGCTGTCTTCTGGCTTCCAGACGGGCTTCATACTGCTCAATTGACTCGTCTTCTGATTCAAGAGCGTCGTCAAATGGCGCACCAGACGAAGAACTGAGAGCCCTTAAGGCACTGCGCCTGACCGATCTATGGACAGGTTGGAATCGATGTGGTTGGGATGACAATGAAGAGTGGATCGCAGGTCTGAGAACGGACTTAATATGTATTTGAATGGGGGCTGGGATGGCGATAAGTGACAGAGACCGTAACCTCTTCGTTGGCTGAAATCATTTTTTGAGAGAAAAGCCGACCCAGATGCATCTACTGCAAAGCCTGGGCATTTATGTTGAACCAACGCCCTCAGCATTGTATACCATACAGATCACTACTGATCAGTGGCAATTCGGAAGCGGTGACCAAGTATTCTAGCTTCTCCGGACGCTTTTTCAGGATGACAGAGTGGACGCGAATGGCTCTGGACTTCTGATCCGCAAAGCAGTCACTCTGGCAAGTCAGATAGATGACGGGAAGGATCAAAATGACGTTGTGTCACAAAACCTCTCGAACAGCTAGTTTATGATGGACCAGCCTCAGAACAAAAATCTAGAAATGCTTCGCTGGCTCTTGGGTGAGAGCATATCCAGTTCAATGGTTGTGGGAGCGGCGGCAAAGGGAAGGGGAGGGGGAGAAGGCGGGAAGGTTGCAGGAGCGCGCGGGCGTTTACAGGTTGAGTTGGGGGAAGCGATTATGAGGGGATGGCGGACGCTTCCGCTGGAGGCGGAATCTGAATGGCGCGGGTTGATCCTCGAAGCCGGTGGCCTGGCCTGGTTCGCCATGGCGACTGGAAAGTTTGTGGCTGGTAAAGAGATGACAGAGCGGGCGGGAGATGAAATGGATGTGGATGTGAGATTGAGTAGTGCCACGTGGACGATGAGTCATCCTAGTGAACGGTGGAGATTGGGCAAATTGTTGACGCGATTGAGGCGCGGAGGCCCCAGACAAGAAGTACACCACGTTTTCTAAGTATCCAAATCAATGCCCTGCAATATACAAACCCCAAAACTTCAACATTGTGGGAAGGTGTCTAAATGTAGTGTCTCTATAGCACACACAATGAGCGTGATAACAACTTTTAGGGTTGTGGGCTCTAACTAGAGTGTGCTGCCAAATCCTCCTTGTTGGCTTCTAGCTGCAGGTCATAGCGTTGCCCTCTGACAACCGCATACATCATATCAGGGGCGATATAATCACAAGTGCGCTCGATGCGGAACGGCTCTCCAGGAATCTGCACCAAACAGGAAACCATGAGAAACATACCGCAGAAGCATCGCAACATTCCACACTTAATCCACCCCCAAAATCGAGATACAACTTTTGGTACTAACCTGGTTGCCGGAATGAATCTGCACGCCTGTGACCACCCCATAGTCAGCAGTGGCTGGGTCAACAGTGAGTGAGATGAGCTTTTCCAGGTCATCATTGATAGCTGCCAGCGCAGCACGAGTCACCTCCACCAACGAATACTCGCCAGCTCCCCGCCGCAGAATCTGAGAAGAGCCATGACACCCGCCATCAGGGGCGTTGGCATGGCATGAAATGAGGCGAGCAGACGTGAGGGCAAATCAAACAGAAGTGAGGGCAAACAATACAAAATGCAAGCATCAAACACAATTTCAGCCTGCATCACCAGCTCCTTCTTAGATCACCTACCAGTGACTTGACTTTCTTCTTCAGCAGTACATACTCCTCGTCATATGGATCTGACACTGTGGCCTTGCCCGCGTTGATGTCGCCCTGAATGGCGATCAATGCGCCACATGCACTCGACGGCTTGCCTCGCCCGCGGCGTAGCAGCGAACCGACATCCCCCGACTCTCCGATAGACACGTGAGGGAAGGCAAAGAAGATGTCTGAGAGGAGACGCGAGGGAGGATGAGGAAGGGTTGAGGGAATAATGGAATGAGAAAAATGTGAAGCTTCCATGGTCCAACCTGCAAGACCCTTTCAAAGGTCAGGAATAACGAAAGGAAGCCAGGGGTGACGCATAGAAAGTGTGGTGCAGCAATCATGCTTACATCTCTCCTTGTCAGTCCCATCTGTCTCGCACCGGAACTCCAGCAAGTGCAACACGGCGGCTTTGAACCGTGTGGCCCTGCGGTTGAGCACGCCCCCCAGGCCTGACACCCTCATCATGCAACCCCCATCATGGACAAACATCCGTACTCACATCGCTCCTTGACGGTCCCATCTGTCTCGCAGGGGAACTCCGGCGAATGTGACATGGCAGCCTTGAAGCCTGTGGCCCCGCAGTTGAGCACGCCTCCCAGCCCGGCGATGTTGAAGGACAGCCCGAACTCACGGTCCACCAGACTCACCACCGGCCGGCACACCTCGTCGCGGCATGTCGAGACAAGCGCAATGCAGTTGTCCCTAGAGAACGAGCACGTGGAACAGGGGGGGGAAAGATGGGGAGAGAGTGAAGCAAAGTTAATGTGAGGCATGTTAAACTTAGCTTCCAGTCTGCTACTGGACCAGCTTCCAGCCTTTCATGGCAGCCTTGAAGCCCGTGGCCCCGCAGTTGAGCACGTCTCCCAGCCCGAACTCGCGGTCCACCAGACTCACCACCGGCTGGCACACCTCGTCACGGCACGTCGAGACAGGAGCAATGCAGTTGTCTTTGGCGAATGAATAAGTAAAGAGGTTGTTTTGGGGGGGGGTGGGATGAGGGGAGGGGAGGGGATGGGGGAGGAAGTGGGTGGGACGGAGAGAGTTTTTTTTTCGGTACATGTCAATCGGGACTTCCTATCTGCTGTTGGACCAGTTCTCCATTGGGCTGGCCTGTCACTGACTAACCTATGGCTGGAAGGCCGTATCATCTGGTTGGGCTACTGCACAGCCGTTCACAGTCCAACTTTATAGCAGTGCCTTCCGGCAAAGTCTATACATCGGGATCTTCCCACATCCTTCCTGTTCTTCCCTTTCACTCCAAGCTCTCATTTCCCATCCCTTCTCAGCATAGAAGTGTGCCCCTCCTGCCGCACCTTTTGAAACCCCAGCTCACTTAAAAGCCCAGCTTGCTGAGCTCCAGGCTTGTGGCCATAATGAGCGAGCCTCCTCCATGGCCTCGAGATGTGACTGTCCAGTCGCCCACCTTTCCCGCGGGCCATGCGAGCCTCCTCTTACTGCATGAGCCTCCTCCTACTGCGTGAGCCTCCTCCTACTGCATGAGCCTCCTCCTACTGCATGAGCCTCCTCCTACTGCATGAGCCTCCTCTTACTGCATGAGCCTCCTCCTACTGCATGAGCCTCCTCCTACTGCATGAGCCTCCTCCTACTGCATGACCCGCGGGAAAGGTGGGCGACTGGACAGTCACAACTCGAACCCCTACCGCACCTTTTGAATATCAGCTTACTTTTCGAATCCCATCTTCCTGAGCTCCTGGCTCGCGGCCTTCATGAAGGCCTCCTCCTGCATGGCCCGCCGGAAGGGTGACTTTTGAGTCGACTCAACAGTCACACCTCGCACGCCTACCGCACCCTCTGAATTCCAGCTCACGTGGCCTTCATGAAGGTCTCCTCCTGCATGGCCCGCGGGAAGGGTGACTTCGGAGTCGACTCAACAGACAACCTCGAACCCCCTACCGCACCTTCTGAATCCCAGCTTGCTTAGCTCCTGGCTCGTGGCGTTCATGAAGGCCTCCTCCTGCAGGACCCGCGGGAACGGTGACTTCGGAGTCGACTCAACAGTCACACCTCGAATCCCTACCGCACCTTCTGAACCCCAGCTTACTTTTTGAAGCCCATCTTGCTGAGCTCCTGGCTCACGGCCTTCATGAAGGCCTCCTCCTGCATGGCCCGCGGGAAAGTCGCCGCCATCGCCGCTAGCGCTGTTTTCGCGGCCTGGAGGGGGAACGGGGCATCGTAAGGAAGCGCAACGATGCAAATAAAGGGGAAACGATGGCAGAAATGTGGCGGGATAGTACGGGCGGGATTCTAATGAAATGGACGCGAAAACACTGTGGGAGGATGGTAACAAACGCGCCTATTGAAGCACAGATTGAGAAGGAATTGGAAGGAGGTTGAATCAGAATGCGTAGGAGGTGCTGACGGTTGTCAGTGAAAGGCCCGGCTGGTTGCGGTGCACATACTTTTTTGGCACGTGGCACGATGCCACTGGGAGGAGCTGCTTCTGCATCCGCTCCCGCTTCTGGTTGACCTGATGTAACCTTCCTGACTATTAAATACGACGCAAGACCGAGCGCTCCCGCTCCTAGGACGGCTGGAGCGTAAGGCTTAGCAGCCGCTATAGCAGGCGGCAGATCCTGAGTGGAGACGGACTGTGTGAATGTAGTGAGATTAGTTTGGAGGCGCTTCAAAGCGGCAGTAGCGGAAGACAGGTCCGGGGTAGAGGAGGACTGAGTGACTGTAGCGAGCGGAGCAGCTGATGAATCAGAGGAATCACTCCTCCCTGCTGCACGTGCGACTGTATACCGTGCATGGCGGCGGATAATGCGGCTTGATGGGGAGGAGGTGATGGAGGGAAGAGGTGATGGTAGCGCTGTCTTGGACTCACGCCTGAAGCCATTGAAGGCTGGAGGGATTGCGGGTGGGATGGGGAAAGAGAGAGGGAGGAGAACAGAGTAAGCATGACCAGTGAGCCCAGTGGCACTATGACCAGTAAGCGTGCGTTGATTTGACGCAATGGAAATTGTTATCGTGAGACAGAACTAACCAGCTAACTAGCGGCACATGTTGCTACTGGCGAGGGTTTTTGTCGTGAACACGTACACGCAGCTAACGAAGCAGAACGCCCCTCCGTCTCGCGCAACCGGCCACACTCAAGCACGGCAGTGGAGGAATTTATTCGAGTAGCCGCAGCCATGCTTGCAGGCGGCAAGGTCTAGGAGAGCCTGACAGAACAACTCCTAGGCAGGAAACTCGGAAAAAAATGCACAACTCTGAAGCACAGATTTGCCTTTGGGGCTCGCATATATAGTTCGCTATGGCTGACAAAATTTGCTTGCTTGCTTGCTTTCCCTCTAACATGACGTCCCTGACAGATTTTCCCAATTGGTCAATGCCTCCTAAATCCTGATGCGGGACCGGGCTTCGCTGGATGGATGCCGTTGAACCTCAGCGGGCCTGCATTGATTGGTGGAACTCCTGGGAAGTGGGCGGAGTATCTTCCTCTGCAGTCAGCGAGCGCCAAGTGGCTGGTGCCTGATGCTGGTTGTACGCTTCAGCTGTGTTACTCTATAACTATAATGAAACATTCCGTATTGCAAATATGTTTCTCTTCGTTAAACGAGTGTCACGAGTAGTCTACAAACGAGAGCACATCTTCGTCTGAATTTATCCTTGATTGACGTTCCAATAGAAGAATTCGTTAGAGCGAGAAATGCAGTTTCCAGCCACGTCATGTTAGAGGCAACTAGCCCCCTCGCCCTCCCATCCACAAGGAGAAAAGCCACGTGGATTCTCCACCATGGCAGGTGCACTCTATTGGAGGAACCAGCGCTTCGTTATTCGAATAATTTCTTTCGTGGAGGATCTTCTCGAAGTTTGTACACCACAACATTGTCAGAAGGCCAACCTTTTGTTCAGAATTCCGTCTTCAGCGGGAAAAAACAACCTCGAGGCTCCATTCTCCGTTGGATGACTGGAGCACGCCCAATCGTTCCCGTCCAATCGTGACTCGTGAGCCCTGGAGTTCACCAAGCCGTGAAAACGGGTTTCAGAAATTGGCAGGACTGAGAGGTGAAGGGGACTCGAGTGTACGAGGTGGGTGGGTGAGTAGGTGACTATTTTTTAGGCCCCTCCCCAGGTAGAACGAAGCTGGCCAGAACGTTTTGTTAGGTGATAATCTCCACTTCAGCTGATTAGCATCTACTAATTTTCTTCTGCGACGTTCCCCTTGCAGTCACAGCTCTCACTTTTTTCTTTCGACCAGAAATTCGTCGAAAATGGCTGCCATGGCTGCCGGAGTCGCCGCTAAGCTCCCAGGCGCTCTCAAGACCGAGAGCGTGCTCGAGGCCAGCCAGTTCCTCGGCCAGTCTGCCAGCACTCTCGCCTTCCCCTCCTCCGTTCCCTCCGCATCGCGTAAACCCCTCTCAGCCCGCTGTGCTGCCGCGTCGGAAGGCTCGGATGGAGCCAAGGCTGCTTCTTCCCACACCCACGCGAAGCGCGCCGTGTCCCGGCGGCTGATCCTCGGCGGAATGGCGGCCGGCATGGCCGCTGTCGTCGGCTGCCCTATCTGCGACTCGGGCTCGCCGTCCATGGGTGCCGCGCTCGCCGCGGACTGGGGCTACGGCGAGCTGTCAGGCCCGAACGAGTGGGGTGCGGTGTGCAAGACCGGCGCGGCGCAGTCGCCGATCGACATCTCCCTGACGGCGCCGAAGATTGTGTCGGACAATAGCATCGGGAAGCTCGCGTTCGGATATAAGCGCGCCGATGCGAGCTTCCTCAACACTGGACACGGCACCATGCAGGTCAGTCAGCCGTTTCGATAAGAAGAAGATGCTGGTAGCTCTGTCGTGACCTAGCATCAATATCGTGATACACTTGCTATGGCAAGCTGTGGGATGGTGGCAAGTTATGTGGACAAGGCAATTGCTAGGATGGCTCTGTATGGTTAAATGATGGACTCGTGCCTTTCGTCTCACCTCCCTACGCATTTTCCGTCCTGATGCAACTCGGCCATAGATAAGGCTGCTGCTCTCCTCCCTCCCCTCTCCATCCTCTCCCAGCATCCCCAAATCCTACCTCTGACTGCGCCTTTCCCCCTTAGTCGCTTCCCGATTTCTGAGGCGTGATCTTGACTCTTGTTTTCCTACCGTTCCTTCGCAGGTGAACTTCCCCGGCGGCAGCAACACGTGCGAGATCGGCGGGCGCAAGCTGGAGCTGCTGCAGTATCACTTCCACGCGCCCAGCGAGCACTCGTTCAACGGCATCCGTACCGCCATGGAGGCACATCTCGTTCACCGTACGTACGATCGCCGTGTCATGTCCACCGTACGTGATAAAACAACACACCACTTTCTCCACAGCGTAATGCGATCGCACCATCACGACTTTCAGCCACTTGTTCTCATGCCGTTTGCGACCCCAACCAAACATGGCCTCATGCGTGTTCCCACTCAAGTGGTCCTCTCTCTAACTTTCTCCCTCTTCCCGTGCGTTCCTCCCATCTCTCATTCCTTTTTTTGAGGCGCCTCAAAAATAGACTCCCGTGCGTTCCTCCCATCTCTCATTCCTTCTCCCTCTCTCTTCCAGGTGATGCGGAGGGCAAACTCGCAGTCGTAGGGTAAGCTCCTTCGTCCCTAGCTCTAGCACCAGTGACACTCCTCCCTTGTATCCAGGCCATATTCACCGTTTTATCAAACCTGCTTTTGAATGGCTTTGCACTCTTCCTCTTCTCCATTCCGCTTTCGCCCTCGATCCCGCCCCGCCCGCCAACAGAGTGAAGCTGGAGGCCGACCCCAAGGCTCCCCGGAATCCCTGTCTCCCAAAAATCCTAACGCTTTCTCCGTCAAACTCCCCCCCCCCCCCCCCCCCCCCCGCCTCAACAGAGTGATGCTGGAGGCCGACCCCAAGGCTCCCCGGAATCTCTGTCTCGAGGCCGCGCTGGCCTTCTCGCCCAACGAGAAGCTCAAGCAGATGTGAGTGCACGGTGCAGTGCGGATTCAAATGGAGCGAGGAGTGAGATCTTGGGGAATGTGAGGTTGAGAGGAAGAGGAAATTCCGGAGGGAAATGTGAGAGTACCATCATGTGCTGATTCTGGTAGGGGCGTATCAACTATTCGTACTGTTGGCTGGTCTCACCAGCGCGGGTCCAGTGGAGTGCTTCGAGGTGCCAGCAGCGAGCGGCAGCAAGCCCTTGAAGCAGTGCGTGTGAAGATTCCCCCCCTCGTCCTCTTAACTTCCCCTCTCATCCTCTACCATTCCTCCCTCGTCTCCCCCCACCAGTGCGGGACCAGTGGAGTGCTTCGAGGTGCCGGCAGTGGGCGGCGGCAAGCCCCTGAAGCAGTGCCTCAAGATCCAGATCAGCCCCGAGCCTCTCCTCCCCAAGCCTGACAGAGCAGTGAGTCCCGAGTCTCCCCTCGGTGAGCTCCCATTGCCGAGCCTGGAAAATTGGCTACTTTCTGATGCATGAGGCCTAGTGCATGTAATAGTGTATGTAATAGCGGTGCATGTAATAGTGTATGCACTTGAGGGAGTTGGGGGAGTAGCCTAGAAACATTTGTCTGATTGGTAGCTCGCTATGGGTTCCAACCATATCAAGTCTCTTTTGCTTGCCATGTCAACTGCCCTCCCTTGCCACATGCTCATAACGGCGCCCATAACTACATTCAGTACAGGGCCTCGCTCACAGCGTTTGTGACGATCTCATGGCGCTATCTCACTACTTGTCTTTACCTTTTGTCGCTCTTCTCTTCCCGTGTGCTGCCCAGGACGGTGCCCACAATTACATCCACTACAAGGGGTCTCTCACCACCCCCCCGTGCTCTGAGGGTGTTGATTGGTTTGTCCTCTGTAAGTCACACTATGCACAAATTTCTCCTGTTCTCCCCTCCCCCCCTCCCTCCCTACGTCCCACTTCCATGCTTTGCCCCTCTCACCGTTCCCCTGCACGTTTGTCTCTCCACCTCATTTCGTGTGGTCGCGCACACGCAGCATGTACCACTGTCAAACATGCCATGCCCTCCCCCCATGCCTTCCCCCCTCCCCCTCTTTCCCCACCTTCCCCCCCCTCCAATAACGCACTCTCTCTCCGTATCCCTCCCCCATGCCCTTCTCCCTCGTCTTGAGGCGCCTCAGAATTTTTCCCCACCTTCCTCCCCCCCCTCCAACAACGCACTCTCTCTCCGTATCCCTCTCCCATGCCCTTCTCCCTCGTCACCCCTCCCCTCCTCCTCTTCCCCCTCGTCAGCATCCCCTCTCGGCGTCCCAGAAGCCCAGTGGTTGAGCCCATGCGTAACGCCTGCCCTTGTGTTTTCCCCGCCCTTCCTCCCTCATCCCTCGCCTTCGTCTATCCAGCCTCCCCTCTCCGCATCCCTGACGCACAAGTGGTTGAGTTCATGCGATATGTGGGCGACCGGCAGACTCTGGCCCTCAACTCGGTGAGAGTGGGTTGGGTGGGATTGGGTTGAGTGGGGAGGGAGATTGCGCTCAAAGAGGAGGGATGAATCATGTGTGGATGAGATCATGCAATGCAATACATGGGCGACTGGCAACCTCTGGCCCTCAACTCGGTATGTTTCTTCTGGGCTTGGTGGAATTGAGTCAAGCCGCAATGGGATGTGTGAGTGAGGTGTATGTGGGTGACTGGCAGCCTCAATCCCTCAACTCTGTGAGAACGATAACATTTTAGAAAATTCGAGGCCATATGTCCACTGGACCGCCTTCACCTCTCTTCTACCGAACCGTGCTCCACCCATCTTCGCTTTTTCCGCCTGCCCTCCTCCTCCCCCAACTTCCACCCCCTCCCCCGCCTTTCGAGGTGCCTCAAACTTGGCCTCCCCCTTCTCCTTCCCCAACCCTCACCCCGCTTAAGCGACTGGCTCTTTTCCCCAGCAGTACATCTCCTGTCTCTTGTGTTTGCTCACTCTTCATTGTTGCCTATGTCTCCCCTTCCCCAACCCTTCCCCCCCCTCCTTATTTGCCAATTGCAGAGGCCTCGTCAAGACCTTGGCGATCGTTTCCTGGTCATTGGTCCCGCATAGAAATATCCTCGAAATATGACGCTGCACAGATTTAGTTTCCCCCTAGATTTGCTCTAAGTTATGACATCACTCCTCTGTATCATCTGAAAAATGCATAAAAACGGTGTCTGGTGTTTGGAGGTGTGCAGTTCCAATCTAGGCGGCCCGTCTTACTGAGGCATCTTTTTTCATTGGATAAGCCCAGTTCCTGGAGGCTACGATGATACAAGGAGCAAGGGCAGTGTGTCACATGTTCTTTCTTTCTTAGAATTGCTGTCATTTCTTTTCCAGAGATTTTTTAGAATTGCACAGAATGGCTCAACTGTACGCAGTTATGGGTTTCAGTTAACATTTTGAGGAAGGTGTTCAGTTAGACCAAGCGTGTGTGAGGGAAAAGGTGTTTAAAGGTGTTTTTATTCCTGGGACAAGAATCAGAACCTACTGTAGGAGCTTTGTGAGGGGGGGGGAGGGGAGGGGTGAGATGAGCAGGGAACGGAGGGGAGCTGTGGGGAAAAAGGATTGTGATTGGAGGGGAGAGGGGCAGACGGGAGAGGGGGGAGGGGGGAAGGAGGTCGGAGGGGGGGGGGGGGAGGGGAAAGGATGGGGGAAAGGAGGGATGGGGAAGGGTAAGGAGGAGGTTTGCAGGTTTGCATACAGCTTGCTGGAGTTTGATTCTGATGTGCATTTACTTCGGTATGAACTAATAATCCATTCATTATGTGCACTCAACACATAGGCATACACCATCAAGGTACCAGTAGTGCCAGCCCCTGACAGGATTGGGGTTGTGGGGGGACTTATGGCCTCTAATGCCCAACCACCCAAACCCACCCAAACCCACCTAAACCCAAGTAAACCCAGCCATCCACACTCAGCACGACCTAATCAAAACCCAACCAACCAACCACACCCAGGCACCTGGGCCCAAAAAAGGTGCAGAGACAGACATTGTCAGCAGGTAAATACCTTGTCAGAATTGTGGCGCTTCAGTAGACAACCGCTGGCAGTGGCATGAGAACCACTGTGTTAGTCTGTCTTGCCTGATGTCTGCACAGTTAGTGGCGGCAATGGCTCCTTACTTCGGCTCCCTACTTCAAACCGCTCAAACCGCTCCTCCGCTCAAATATGGGGCCCTGCTGGACGCGAGTATCTCGCCCATTGCCCTGAGCGCGTCCGGGTTAGCCGCTGCCATCTGCGCCGCGTTCTGCTGCCACGGCGCGCGGTTGTTCTTCGTGTCGCTCGTGATCGCCGACACGAGCGTGCGCGACGCCTTGGCGCTCGCGACGGACTGCGCGAGAAGCTTCATCTGCGCGGCGCGGTTCCGCGCCAGAAGGTCCAGCTCGTCCGCACGCGACGCGGTCGTGTACGACCTAGCCGTTTCGTAGAGGCGCTTCGAGTTGTCGTAGTCCGTCTTTGCGGAATCGTAGTCCTGCTGCGCCGTGGCGAGAGCGGTATTCGCGGCGGTTAAGTCCGAGTCGGCAGTGTCTTTATCGGTCTTGGTGGACGCTTCGTCCGACGTGGCCGCGGTTACTTCGGCGTCCGCTGCAGTCACAACGGCCTGAGCGGCCGTCTGCAGGTTGGTGACTATAGCGGAGTGATCCTCCCACGCGGATTTGATTGACTGCGCGATCGCCACTTCGACATACTTCGCGGCTGCCGCGGCGCGAAGCGCGGACGTCGGGTTAGCGTCGGCGGCTGTAGCGGCGGCATCCGCGGCGGTGTTCGCGTCGGTGAGGTCGGTCGTAGCGGCAGTCAGCCCGGTTGTTGCGGCGGACATCGCAGCGTCGACGAGCGCGGAGAGGGCTGTAGCAGCCGTCTTGTACTTATTCGCGAGGGCGAGCCGCGCTACAGCCGCGTTGTACTTCTTCGTAGCGAGCGCCGCCCACTGCTCCGCCTTTTGCTGCGCGAAGTCGAGCGGGGGGAGCGCGCCGGCGGCTGTAGCCAACGCGTCGAGCTTCGTTTCGAAATCGCCCTTAGCCGTTGCTTCGTCCGTCTCCCTCTGTGTCGCTGTGGCAACGGCGGCCGTCGCTTTTGCCGAGAGCTGGTCGGCTTGTTTCTGCGCGTACGCGACGTTGTTCTGCGCGGCTCGGGAATTCTGCGAGGCTTGATCGAGTGCAGAGAGCTTCTGCCTGCCGCGGTTTTTTTTCGCCTCGGTGACATGGAGAGCAGAGAAGAGTGCGAGGAGAAGAAGCACCACTGCGAGAACGCTATGTCTGGCCGCCATGTTTGCTCGATGAAAGTCGACGAGGTTAGGAGATGAAACAGGTAGCGGAGACTACCAGTAGCGGGTAAAGGCAACTGATGAATATGCAGCGGGTACTAGTTGTGGAGGCAAGGGTGTCGGGGAAAAATGAAGAGTTGTTGTATTTGTACGGCTTGTGTGAGTGAGAGCAGTGCAGACGCATCGATTGAGGTGTGGAGGCAAGGGAAGTGAAGATCGGAAGATCGGGGATTCGGGGGTGCTGCTGCTGCTGGGAGAGTGAGGGAAGTGAAGAGGCGGTGTGTTGCATTGCATTGAGTTGAGTTGCGTGCTGAAATCGAAGCGCGCAGTTGGCTACAATTCCCAACCACCATGCAAACCGCCACTCCAACATGCGGCTCGGTATCGACGAATCACGCTCCGCCTCGTGCACCTACACCTTTCAACAACCTCCATTTCTCAAAATGCAGTTCGTAAAATCTGATAGAAGTGAGCCCTATTCTGAACTTCCAAGCAAAAACAGCACACTGGGGGGCGACCCGAAAGGTCGTTCACATGGGTTTGACATTTTTAGGCGCAACGCCAATCTGTCTACAGCTATTACACGTTGCCCCACGCGGAGAAGCAACTCGAAGTCGATTGTATGGAGCACCTAAGGTTGCTCGAGATAGGGTTACAGGCCCCGCCCAGTTATCAGAAGGCTGGCTGGCAGCGACGGGCAGAGAGGAAACATGGGCATCAGGCTGTGGTGGAAAATGAAGGCAGTGCAACTGGTGGCAGTAAGGGGGTGACCAAAACAAGGGCAGTGTGTGTTCCTTTTTTGCAATCTTGGAATTGTAGTGGGCTTCTTACCCTATAGCGGAGGGATAGACTATATGGAGTATCCAACCAAGCAATGCAGCCACACCTCTCCCTCCCACCAGCAAGTGCCAGCTGTATGCTTCAGCGCTTGATCAACGGAGGCGTCACACCCAAGGGTTGGTCGGCCCTTCTGCCATTTCCGTTCCCTAAAACTGTACTCTGGTTATCAGATGAGTCCAAAATGCCATATACGTACAATATTTGTATGGATACGAAATAAGTAGGCCAATCATGCACATAAGAGGTTGGTACAGACCTCGCGAGTGGTCAGCCTGTTCATGCTATGTCAAGGGACACGCACATCCATAAAACATATATTTGTAGTGGAGAATAAGTATGTATGTACACATCAATGCTCCCACTAGATGTCTTCATATAGTGCCAGAGCTAGCTCACTCACGAAAGCCGCCTTCATCTGCCTATTATGCAAATCCTAGGCAGCCTGTCTCACGCAAGTTCTACCCCTTACTCTTTCCAGACCACCCAGCAGGCAAGGCAAACGCAGACACACTACCAATCCCCCCTTGCAGCCCTCCTTTCAAAAGAGAAACCAGCTTGTCCGGCTCACACACAGGCGCCAGACACGTCATGTTCTGGCACACGTACGCTGATGACGTAGCACCTGCTGCTGCTGCCTCATCCCCTGCTGCTGACGTGGCAGTGCCAGTAGACCTGTCACCCATGCCCTTGGATGCCATGGCAAGGACAGCTGGATTGTGCTGCTGCCAGAAGGCAACATCCGATTGGTTGGATGGATCAATAGGGATGAGCTGAGGAGAATAGGAGGAAACATTGGGGGGGTGGGGAGAGTGAGAAGGGTGGAGGTGGGGAGGGGAATGGCGAGGAGGGAATGCCATATGAGCAATTGCTACTTCATGACAATAAGAGCAATGGAGAAGCATGGTTAAAAAAAAGAAAACAAATGTTACATCCCCCTTACAGTAAGATGCGGTTGCAGCACGGAGAACACAGCGTTCAGCAGCGCCTCAGTTTCAGGCCTGCCCCGTGGCCCAGCAATGATGACCTGGCGCTGAGCTGGCGCTGATGTGGCAGCCAGCAGATCCAGCGAGCAGCACATCTGTGGCACGGCTAATGGCATGCGGGTGAGACGGTCCTCAAAGGCCAGCTGGCCAATAGGAGGGGGCGGATGGAAGGGGGAGTGGGGCGGATGAGAGGGGGGGAAGGGAGTGAGTGTGGATAGGAGAGGAACAGAGTCAACGGCAAGCACAACAGCAGATCCAGCGAGCAGCACATCTGAGTCAAGGGCAAGCCGTGCAGCACATCTGAGTCAAGGGCAAGCCGTGCAGCACATCTGAGTCAAGGGCAAGCCGTGCAGCACATCTGAGTCAAGGGCAAGCCGTGCAGCACATCTGAGTCAAGGGCAAGCCGTGCAGCACATCTGAGTCAAGGGCAAGCCGTGCAGCACATCTGAGTCAAGGGCAAGCCGTGCAGCACATCTGAGTCAAGGGCAAGCCGTGCAGCACATCTGAGTCAAGGGCAAGCCGTGCAGCACATCTGAGTCAAGGGCAAGCCGTGCAGCACATCTGAGTCAAGGGCAAGCCGTGCAGCACATCTGAGTCAAGGGCAAGCCGTGCAGCACATCTGAGTCAAGGGCAAGCCGTGCAGCACATCTGAGTCAAGGGCAAGCCGTGCAGCACATCTGAGTCAAGGGCAAGCCGTGCAGCACATCTGAGTCAAGGGCAAGCCGTGCAGCACATCTGAGTCAAGGGCAAGCCGTGCAGCACATCTGAGTCAAGGGCAAGCCGTGCAGCACATCTGAGTCAAGGGCAAGCCGTGCAGCACATCTGAGTCAAGGGCAAGCCGTGCAGCACATCTGAGTCAAGGGCAAGCCGTGCAGCACATCTGAGTCAAGGGCAAGCCGTGCAGCACATCTGAGTCAAGGGCAAGCCGTGCAGCACATCTGAGTCAAGGGCAAGCCGTGCAGCACATCTGAGTCAAGGGCAAGCCGTGCAGCACAGCAAAAGGAGATACTTCTTGGTTGAGACACACGGCAAAGCACATACATACGTTCGGCCAAGCAATTGACCCACCAGGCACTTGGTCGCTTTCCTCTGGAACTCCTCGGCCCTCTCCAACAGGATCCTTACATCCCCTCCGCCATATGAAGCACATACGTTCTCCTGCCAAAAAATGGACTCACCAGGCATTCGCTTACCAGGCACTTGGCTGCTTTCCTCCGGAACTCCTCGCCCCTCGGCCCGCCAATCATGGCTCCCAGGCGCGCCAGGCTGGCAGCTGCTGCTGAGCTGGCAGCGGGCTCCGCCCCGTCGTAGTCCTCCTTCATTCGCAGGAGCAGGGAAGGATCGCCCTCTGCTGTGTTGAAATAGGCTCCTTCCTTCTCGTCCCAGAACAGGCGGTCCTGTGTGGGTGTCAGGGTGCAGCGTGCGGCGATAGAGAAATGGGGCGGACGACAGCAGGTCATGGTCCTCCTTCATTCGCAGCAGGAGAGGAATCGCCCTCTGCTGTGTTGAAATGTGCCCATTCCTTCTCATCCCAAAACAGACGGTCCTGTGTTGATGTAGGGGAGAGCGCATGTCTGCATGTGTGCATGTGTGCATGTGTGCGTGTGAGATAGGGAGAGGCACAAACAGGAGCAGCAGGAGAGACGGGTCGCCCTTTGCCGTGTTGAAATACGCCTTCCCCCTCCTCGTCCCAGAACAGGCGGTCCTGGAGTCAAGAGGAGGGAAAGCAATGTTCAATTGCAGTAGAAATGAAGGCTACCCCTAGAAATACCCCCATAAAAAATCCGCTGCAGCTCCATGGCCCGTGCCCCCCTCCCCCCTCCCCCCTCCCCCTTCCCCTCCCCCTTCCCCCTCCCCCTTCCCCCTCCCCCTCCCCCTTCCCCCTTCCCCTCCCCCTTCCCCATTCCCCCTCCCCTTCCCTTCCCCCTTCCCTCTCCCACCCCCGACAATCACCTGTGTGTCTTGCAGCTCCAAGGCCCACCTGTCCGGCCCACGCAGCTCATTGGAGCTGCAATGGCGGCCTCCCCCACCACTCAACCATCACCCCCCCCCCCAACCCCCTCCCACCCCCAACACCTACCTGTGTGTCCTGAAGCCCCACGGCCCACGATGAGCAAGTCGACTCAAAACGTTTCCTGAAGCCCCACGGCCCACGATGAGCCATGAGGGCACCAGGAGCAATAGGCTCCTGGTGCCGCACCACTCCCGCATGCAATGAGTCTATTTTTGAGTCAACTCAACAATAAGACATGCCGGATCAGTCCCCCCCCCCTCCCGCCCTCCCGCCCCCTCCCCACCCTCCCAACCCCAACACCCACCTGCGTTTCCTGCAGCTCCAAGGCCCACACGTCTGGCCCACGCAGCTCATTGGAGCTGCAACGACACCCTTTTCCTTCACCCGCTTCACCCCCCTTCCACCCCCTTCCACCCCCTTCCACCCCTTCCACCCCCTTCCACCCCCCTCACACCCCCAATACCACCCACCTGCGAGTCCTGCAGCTCCATGGCCCACGCCAGCCAATCAGAGTCGCCCGAGGCCTCAAACAGGTCCAGCAAGGAAGCTACCAGGAAGGCGTAGTCATCCGCAAACCCCCACACTTCGGACGCGCTTTCCCGGAAGCTTCTCCGCAGGCGCAAAGACGCCGGGTCGTACAGCTTGGACCGGACAAAACTCGCCGCCCGGACGGCGCAGGCGAGGTAGACGGACGGCGGGGATCCGTCGTCGGGGAAGTGGTGGGATGACGTGGCAGGCTCCGATTGGAGGATCCGAGACGCTCGTGCAAAGGCAGATATCATGAGCCCATTCCAAGCCACTATGACCTGACAGGCGACAGGTGGGGGAGATGGGGGAGCAGAGCGGGAAGGGGGAGGAACGAGGGGGAAGGGGAGGAAAGAGGGGGAAGGGGAGGAAAGAGGGAGAAGGGGGAGGAAAGAGGGGGAAGGGGGAGGAAAGAGCGGGAAGGGGGAGGAATGAGGGGAGAGGGGCGGTGGATACGGGGTGGGGGGTTTGATTCAGAGAGAGCTGCAGTCAAGTCTGCTCCATGACAGGCAAGAGGTAGCGGAAGAAGGAAGGGTGCCTTGCTGGAGGGCTGGATAACATTTGGTGAGACTATGAGTGGACACACCTTACGATCAAAACGGGCACACGGCTACGTGGTTACACGGTTACATGGCTACATCGGTACAGGGTGACATGGTTACACGTACATTGGCGGGCCTACCTTATCATCCAGATGTGGGCGGGGTCGCTTGCTCCTGGCTGCATGCAGCAACTGGCGACACTCGCCTAGGACCTGATAGGGGGAGGGCAAAGAGAGGATGGAGAGGAAGGAGAGGAAGAAGTTGAGTTGGTTTTGAGAATCCTAAAAAAACTAGGACCTGATATGGGGGAGAGTACAGGAGGAAGGAGAAACGGCGAGGAACGATGACGGGGGAGAGGAGAGGATCACTGCTGCTGCATGCAGCAACTGGCGACAATCACCTGGCTAGCACCTTTTTGAGGCGCCTCAAAAAAAGACAATCACCTGGCTACCAACCACCACCTGATATGCGGGGATGGTGAAGAAGGGGCTGTGGAGAACATTTCTGAGGCGCCTCAAAAATAGACTCCTCACGCAACTGGCGACAATCACCTGCCGTGTGTAATGAGTCGATTTTTGAGTCGACTAAAAAATCGACTCATTACACTAGCACCTGATATGCGGGGAGGGTGAAGTAGGGTCTGTGGAGAACCGATAGAAGATAGTCCTACCGGGTAGGAACGGCGTTGGATTTGGATGTGCAACAGCAGTAGTAACCCCATTTGGGTAATGCCCGCCCATTTGGATCTGCAACAGCAATATCCAAATCCAACCTGATCTGCAACGCCCATCTGCAGCAGTAAGGCGTGTTGCATATGGGCGTGCTGCAGTGCCGTCTAGCAAAAAAACAAAAAAAAAGGGAACTCCTATTGAGCTCATATTGAGAAAAAAAGGGCAAAAGGCGTAACAGGCACCTATTGACTCCAGGGCCCCTATTGAGCTCTCACCTCCTCTGCCTCTTCCTCCGGTACGCCCGCTTTTCCAGCCGCCTCAGCCACAGAGCAACGCTGGATGAGGCAGTTGAGCCCCGCAAACTCGTTGTGGGGGTCGGAGCGAGGGGAGAGGTCGCAGTTGCCATCCTTGCGCACAGTGTAGAGGGTGGTGAAGAGACGGAAGCGAGGGGTTGAGGGACCGAGAATTGATGCAATCTGAAACGATGGGGTAGAAACAGCCATGGCAGGAGGGGAGGGGGTTAGGGAGATATATAGAGGGGAGGTGGCAGTCGCCATCCTTGTGCATAGTGACAAGGTCAGTGAAGAGACGACAGCGGGGAGAGGAGGGGCCGACGATCAATGCAATCTGAATGACGGAATGGAGGGACCGACAGGAGAGAGGGCAGAGGCTGCGGATTTTAGGACGCCGTTGCTCTCCTTGCGCATGCAGCGTAGATTGTGCTGAAGAGGCGGTGGCAGGGGGTGGTGGGGCCGAGGACTGATGCAATCTACATTGGAAAGGAATGGGGAAAAATATGGGTACGGGGAGGTTTCATCTGCCATCCGTCCTTTCACAGTGTGCAGCGAGCTTGAGACACAGATTCTTCCTCCCTCGTCTGCACACATCCTCGCCCTGGCCTGGCGCCCAGCACCCTTGCCTGGCGCCCAGCACCCTTGCCTGGCGCCCAGCACCCTTTCCTGGCGCCCAGCACCCTTGCCTGGCGCCCAGCACGCTTGCTCACCTCGCACTCACCAGCTTCTCACTACAAGTGTAGAAAGCGCCTGATTTCCTCCGCTCATCAGTAACCGCTGCCAGGCTGTCAGCGTCCTATACGCTGAAACAGCTGCTGGCTAGTAGTGAGAAGGTGGGTGAGTGCAATCATGCAATGAGTCTATTTTTGAGGCGCCTATTTTTGAGGCGCCTCAAAAATAGACTCCTCACGCATGGTTTTGAGGCGCCTCAAAAGCAAACAGCTGCTGATTGCAAACAGGGGCTTCAGCGCCTGTCGCCTCTGTCTCGCACACCCACCTCTTTCTTACTCCAAACGTAGAAAGCGCCTTCCATCTTCCTCTCGTCACCAACAGCTGCGAGGCTGTCAGCATCCTCCGCACTGAAAATATCACCCTCCTCAAGGGTCAAGGACTAAGCTCCATCCACCACCACACACCCACCTCCTTCTCACTCCACACATAGAACGCCCCTTCCTTCTTCCTCTCGTCAGTAACGTCCGCCAGGCTGTCAGCGTCCTCCGCACTGAAGATGCCGCCCTCCACGTGCGTCATGTCCCGCCGCACATAGTCCAAAATATCCCGCCCCATGCGCGCGAAATCAGGGCGGCCGGTGATGAGAAACGCGTCGAGATAGGAGTTGGCGAGCTGGCCTTGGTCGTAGAGCATCTTCTCGAAGTGGGGCACTGGGAGGGTGGGGGGGAAAAAGGGAGGAGGGAATTGGGGGAGGGGTCTTGGAAACAAACACGAGGTGCGGATGCGAGTTGGCGAGCTGGCCTTGGTCGCGGAGCATCTTCTCGAAGTGGGGCACTGAGGGGTGAAGGGAGGGAGAGGGGAGGGGGGGGGGGTGTTGGAGGAGCAATTTGATCGTGAGGCAAGGAAGCGCTTGTATTGTGAGGCAGCTGATAGAGTTGGTGAGGTGGCCTTGATCGTAGAGCAGCACACTACCCTTACCACACCTCACCACACCACGCCTTACCACACCTCACCACACCACGCCTTACCATGCCAGAATTTGTCAACCAAGTATCGGTGAAACCCCCCCCCCCCCCCACGTGGTCGTGCATGCCCCCCCGCCCCATGCGAGTCACCTTCTCCAGCTCGCCTGGCACCCTGGCGTACCCCGCACATCACCACTCCTTACCGTGCCACAACTCATCAACCGAGTATCGGTGAAACACCCCCCCACGTGTTCGTGCATGCCCCCCCGCGCCATGCACTCCACCATCTCCAGCGGGCTGCGTTGCACCATGGCATACCGTGCCTTACCATTCCTTTTCATTCCTGACCACACCACACCACGCCTTACCGTGCCAGTACTCATCAACCGAGTATCGGTGGAAGCCCCCTCCCACGTGGTCGTGCATGCCCCCCTTCCCATGCACTCCAGCGTGTGAACCACCATCTCCAGCGCGCCCGGCCCCGTCCCCCTCACCACCCTCCCCTTCCCCTTTTCCGCATCCTCCCCCAGTTGCGCCTCCCTCAGGTGCGCCCTCATCAGCAGGTTGAGTTCTGAGGGGCGGGGGAACTTGGGCGCCGACCCAAACCCCCCAATTTGTGATCGTACCGCGAGGCCAGCTGCTCCGTGCACAGCTTCACTGCCTCCTCGGCTAGTCTTCTCACCCTTTCCTCCTCCTGCTCCGCCTTCCCCTCCGCCCCCCCCTCCGCCTCCCCCTCCCCCTTGCTGCTGGTGGAGGGGCGCTCCACCATCGCCTTCGCCCCTCCCCCTTGCATGGCCTCCTGCAGCTGCGCCATGGCATCCTCTGCACCGCTCTGCACCTCACTGCGCCGGACCTCCCACACAGAGCGAACTCGCCTGGAGAGTGGGGGGGGGAGGAGCATAAGGCGAGGAGAGAGCGACAAACAGAAGGAGGCGCGGAGGATGGATGAGGAGGCGGCAGAAACACAGGAAGCGGTATGGGGACAAACACAGGAAGCGGTATGGGCAGAAACACAGGAAGCGGTGTGGGGAGAAACACGAAACTTTTCCATGCGAGGAAAGAAGTGCTGTTGCCACCTCACCTGACAATCACCCGAGGGAAAAACAAGCTCACCTGAGCATCCACCTGGGGGAAAACATACTCACCTGAGCATCCACCTGAGAGGAAAAAAACTCACTTGAGCAGGGACTTGAAGCCAATGCGGCCGTATTTGTCCTCTGGAGGGAAGTAAGTGCCGCCAAAGACGGGGTGCAGAGATGGCGTGAGGAACACACTCATGGGCCACCCGCCCCCCCCCTGCGTGGCCTGTACGTAGGTCATGTAGACCTGAGAATGTGAATACAGGGCGGGGAAGAGAGGGAGGATGAGAAAGGTACCACCGAGGACAGGAAAGAAAGACATGGGCCGCCCGCCCCGGCCCTGCGTGGCCTGCATGTAGCTCATGTGGACTTGGGAATAGCGGGGGAGGAGAGAGGGAGGATGAGAAAGGTACCGCCGAGGACAGGAAACAAAGACATGGGCCGCCCGCCCCGGCCCTGCGTGGCCTGCATGTAGCTCATGTGGACTTGGGAATAGCGGGGGAGGAGAGAGGGAGGATGAGAAAGGTACCTCCGAGGACAGGAAAGAAAGACATGGGCTGCCCGTCCCCCCCCCCTGCGCAGCCTGCACATAGGTCATGCAGACCTGGGAATAGCGGGGGAGGAGAGAGGGAGGAAAGAAAGGGGTGCAGCGAGGGCGGACCCCTTCATGGGCCGCCCGCCCCCCCCCCCTGCGCGGCCTGCACGTAGGTCATGCAGACCTGAGCGGGCGGACAGTAAAGGGGGGCGAAGGGGGGAGAAAGACAAAGGTACCGCCAGATGCAGAGTGGTATGAGGGCGTGAGGAACACGCTCATGGCCACCTACCCCAGCCTCGTGCGGCTTGCATCTAGGTCCTGTAGACATGGGGAAAGAAGGGGGGGAAGCCGCAACCACCACCAGATACATGGGTGGAAGAATCCCTTGTATCTGGTTGTGATTCTCCAGGTCAGCACAGGTCTCACCTTGTCCACGTCAGCTTGCCCCTCACCCTGTCCGCATCAGCACAGGTCTCACCTTGTCCACGTCAGGGCGCTCCTCCCTGTCCACTTTGATGTTGACGAACCCCTCGTTCATGATATCCGCCACGTCATCGCGCTCAAACGACTCCACCTCCATGACGTGGCACCAGTGACACGTGGAGTACCCCACCGACAGGAAGATCAGCTTCCCCTCCTCTCGCGCCCGCGCAAACGCCTCCTCCCCCCACGGATACCAGTCAACCTGGGAGGGGGGAGGAAGGGGGTGAAGACAAAGGGGGGGGGGGGGGGGGCGGGGGGAGAGGGGGAGGTGGAGGGGGAGGGCACGGGGAAATGTCTCAGCGAATCAGCGCAGACGCTCCCAGATCTCCCCCCCCCACAGCTAAATTCAACATGGCGGGACAATCAGGGGGGCGGACAGAGAGGGTGACGAAAAGGGATGGGACGGAGAAAGAAAGGAAGTGAGCCAATCTCGAAGGGAGATGAATGGTTACCGGGTTGAGATGGTTACCGGGTTATGCGCGTGTTGCAGCAGGTACGGGCTCTGTTCCTTGGCCAGGCGATTCGTGTACTGGTGCGTCTTCCCCGCGCACTCCCCTCCGCCCCTCTCCTCCTCCGCTCGACCCGCCTCGCCAGGGGCCTCCTCCTTCCGCTCCGCTTCCGCCATCACGCGCACGTTGCGCGGAGGCGCTTGCTCCGACGAAATCCCGCGGCGGGCGATGGGCGCAACGCGCGGACGAAAAGGGGAAACGGTACCCGCAAGCGGCGCGGACTGCGCGGCGGTGCGAAGGCAGGGGGAGGAATCTGCGGAAGGCAGTCGCGAGACTGTTAAAGCCCGCCGAAGGGCAGATGAATTAGGATTCAGAGTTCGCGCCGAAGGACGATCGTTCTTGATCAAGCGCGAATAAGAAACTACAGGCCCGGTATCTGCAGCGCTGGCGACTCCAATCGAGGCTCTGCTTGCTGCTCTTAGTGGTAAGTGGGTAATCGGAGAGAGGAAATGGCGGGAGATTGAGAGACGGATTCGCGACGATGGTGATGGTCGGAGCGACTGCATCGCGTTGGCTTACTGGACGCAAGGAGACGAACACCGTGCTTACCCTCTGTGACAGAGGGTTCTTGCTTCCACACGGTTCTTTTCTCACTTTTGGCAGTAAACAAAGTTACCAAGATTACCTGTCGACGCGAATTGCGCGCCGAATAGGGTCCTTTCTAATCGAAGTGCGCGGTTCCACGCAACCCATGCACCTGCTGAAGAGAGCCCGAACCCGGAATGCACTGGACTGGATTGAGCGCCATTGATGAGGCAAGGGCAGTCAAATAGGGAGAACGGCCTTCAGGGCGTTTCCAAAGTGGCTTTGAGTCACGCGATGAGAGCACGTCGCGTAACAGGAACACTTTATCCGGTGCCCATTATGACGAGACGAATTTCTGTGACTGGTTTCGTGAAAGGAACGTGCGTAGTTTGTAGAACACACACATCTCTGGGGAAAATCGCAGCTTCGTACACCACAGGACGCAAAACATAACTGCACTTTGGACAGAATGCCGGAAAATGCACATTCTGGATTTCGTAACTTATACTGAACGTGTGTGTGCCATTACAGTTACGAAGTCGAGATCCAACCTGTGCCGAAATCCTCGTGCGAAACTTTGGATACGCCCTCATGCACAAGAGGGCCAGAAATATTTGCATATGCCTGGTTGAATCCCCGCCAGAAATTTGCGATATTCGAGGGGCAAATTGGCTGCAGATGCATTCGCCAGGCGAAAACGAGTTATAGAAGGAAGAGTGACTCGCGAGGGTTCGCGAGCTGGTGCTGGTGTGTTTGGCAGGTGCATGGCCGGTGGAAGCCAGTGAATCTCAGGCACGTAGCAGCGGAACCTTTAAATCGTTTTGCCGATATATAAACATGCGACAAAATATTCCCGAATAACGCCACAAACGAGTAACGGAGCATCTTCAATATGCGACATTCCGTTTCAGCGAACAGAAATAACTAAAACTGGAAGGGACAAAATGGAGTGATAGTGCATTTGCCGATTATTTCACATCCGCATTTTGCCGATTTTAGGTAGCGAGCTTCGTGTTAGCGTCCGCTTTCCGGCTCGACCACCCTCCTATCTCACCCTGTAGTTCGTCCCCTTGCTACTGGCGCCGCCTTGGACTCTTTCGCGTGATAGTTGGAGGCACTTTTGCGAGGAAATCGTCACTTATCTCACGTAAAAGTGCCCCCCTGGCCCGCGCGCCCTTAGCCAGATTCCCGCGCCACCATGCAGCTCGCCTGGACTCCCGCCGCAAAAAGCGCAAAGAAGCGCATGCGACGCGCCAAGGGCGGCGAGGCCGTCCTCCGCGCATTCGGGGACCAGGATGACGTGGCAGCAGCGTCTTCGCGTGGTGACCTGGCCGTCGCTGACGAGGCACGCGGGGAAGACGCCACGTGGATCTCAGGCGAGACGGAACCGAGGCGAAAGACGAGAGTTGAGGAGACAGCGCAGCTCCAGCAAAGGGGAAACGCCTTCGCACAGGCACGTGCAGGCACGTGGGAGGCACGCAGGAGGCACGCGGGAGACACGCGTTTCCTTCTTAGGTGTTCCCCACCTCCTCACTTCCACACACCTCCCCTCATTTACCCATAGACCCGATCCCGCCCCGCTCCCTCACCTTCCTTCTCCCTTTTGAGGCGCCTCAAAAGTCGTCTCCCTCCCCTCCATCCCTCCAATCCCGCCTCCCTCCCCCTCCCGCTCCCTCTCCCACTCCCCCCTGCCTGCACTCAGGCGGGCGATTTTCCTGCTGCTCTTGCCACGTGGGATGCCGCCATTGGCCTGTGTCCCCTGCCACGTCAGCGCGCGGTGCTATTCGAGCAGAAGGCGCAGGTGCTGATGGAGATGGGGCGACTGTGGGAGGCCGTCCGAGCTGGCACATGTAATGATTGCTCTAATGATTGCGCCTTGTTCCGAGCTGGCGTATGCAATGATTGCAGTCGGATAGGCGCCATCCTAGCTGGCATGTGCCCTGGACAAGCCTTGCTGGGCTGCACCGCTGCAGATCCTATTCTCGTATGCTTGCAGGATAGTCCCGGTATGAGTTCCATTCTCCTTCCCGCGTCCGCTGCAGGTGCCACAGAGATCGCCCCAGAATGGCACGACGCGTGGGTGACCCTGGCGCGAGCTCAGCTCAACTTCGGCGAGCCTCAGCTGGCTCAAGCCTCCTTCTCACACGCGCTGTTGCTGCAGGTCATTATCCCCCTCCCCCGCCCACCCCCCGCCCTCTCCCCCTTTCCCTCCCCCTCTCCCCCTCTACCCCCTCTTCTCTCCCCCATTCGCGCCCCTGGATTCCTTTTAAAGTCATCGACCCCTGATTTTCTCCCAGAACCTCTACCTGCACCTCCCGACTCTCTCTCCCTCTCTCCACCCTTTTCCCCGGCTGCCTACCAATTTCTCTCGCCTCCGCTGTATCCAGCCCCACAATCCCACGCAGCCAATGCTTCTCTCCATTGATTCACTCCTCACTGTATCTTCCCCGTGCCCACTCCACCTGCCAGCCTGGCAATGCTGAGGCGCAGCAGGAGCTCAGGGAAGCCTCGCGATTGGCTGTCAGGCAGCGCCAGCTGGCAGCAGCAGCTGCTGGCGGGGATGCGGAGATGGTGACACGTGTTGAAGTGGGGATGGTGAGAGGTGTGCATGGGGATGGGGTACAGCAGCAGGCGCAGCAGCAGGAGCAGGAGGGGCAGCAGGAGGAGCAGGAGCGGCAGGGTAGAAACTTTGAGAGGGGACCTGACGTGAGAATTCACGTGAGGGGGAATATGGATGCTGGTGGTGCTTCCGCTGATGGTCATGATGCTGTTGCTGCTCGTGATGCTCTCACCAGTGTTGTTGGTGCTGCTGGACGTGGGGAGGAACATACTGAAATCCATCGAGTAGAGTTGAGGTAGTAGAATAGTAGCGGGAATATGGGAATTATAACATATACTGTGAAATACACGATTTGTGCTGAAGAAACACGCTCAAATTTTTTGAAGGCCTATTTTTACGCATTCAGAATTCGTGGTCTTTTTTGGCCCTGGTCATGTAGAAAACGGTATGTGGGTAATCTATGAGGGGGTTCTTCTGGGAGTCCATGCCAGGCACAATGAAGGCGTGGAAACTAGGGTTGCACAACCCAGAATTGCGGAACCGGTTGCGGTTCTGGCGATGTTTTTCTTGAGAGAAAAGTTTGCGAGGTACCGTCGAAATGTTTGCTAGATGCGTAACCAGAACGGATTGCGCAACGTACTCAGGTTGCGCAACCCCAGGCTTCATGCCTTCACCACCATGACATCAGTCCAGGCCACTAGAAAAAAACTCATTCCGCGAAGCCTCGGATGACATCACCAAGACGTTCTTAAGTTTTCGCGAACTAGCGTGCGAGAGAGTTACCGCTCGTATCAGCTACCCAAATTGCAAAACCCACGTCATACGAAGTGACCGAGAACTGACCGCATGTGCCATGCTGGCTTGGCACACAAGCGGACAAACTTTCACCAAATCTCCGCGATCTTTGCGACCAATCACTGAATTTTCAGTTCGGCTTCCTCGTCTGCACACCATACGTGCACAACAATCCAAGAGCTGGCCTCGATTCAGGTTCCAGAATCCAGTCCACAAACATCGCGGCTCGAGTCAAAACTCCCCAAAATTGCCCCTCCCCTCCGCAGAGCCACCCCACATCCGCCCCTCACCAGTCACTTACAGATGCTCCACAGTTGAATCAGTTGAGTATTTGTATAGCTACTCTGAAGTTCGTTTTGTCGCACCCAAGTGACGATTCGTCACTCCTTCCGTCGCTTCGCTTCAACAGCCAACAGTGGAAATCCCGACGAGCGTGCTCGCTCTAATTTGACATCCACTGAAGCGCACTGCGATCCATCGCGACTCGGATTTCCAGCCCTTCGCCCTAAATTCTTCTAAAAGCGTCAAATTTAACTTGAGTCCATCGATGGAGCTCATACGACACAGCGTCGGCGGTATTTCGCCCTCAATCGCGTATTTTCTACTTCTCCTGGCGGTCATATTCAATACATTTACGAATTGTGCCGCCGCGGAAGGCGGCGCTGCAATTTCCGTTCCCGAGCTGTCCTCCTATTCCAGCGTGGCGGTATTGGATACGCGCTTCGAGCTCTTCTGGTCCGTCAACAACAGCGACGCGACCATCCACGTGGCGGCCAGAGCCAAAACGGCGGGATGGCTCGCTATAGGCATCTCCGAGATTGGATCCATGGTTGGATCAGGTACCATCCGAGATTTGATAATTCAAGTCAGAGCACCCAGTTTTTCAGACTGGCGTTTATTTTCGTGCGTCACTTCAAACAATGTTCTGAGAGCGTGCCACCAGTGATGGCGGAGGGTGAACTCAAGGGTTATGCAACCCTAAACCCGATACCCCACCTGCGACGGATAGGATCTCCACGACACTCCCTGCAGCACCACTGTTCATGACTCTGCAGAGAATTTGACGGATTCGAACCGCAGCAAGCCTTGTGCCCTCGACTGATCTTAACTAAAAGCTAGCTGAAATGGTTGGGTGGGTCTGCACCACTGTTCATGACTCTGCATGCCCCTGTCTCGTCTATGAACAGAACTCCTCGTCGCGTGGGTCGCAGAGTCCGAAGCCTGCGTGTATACGACGCACAGGTTCATTTTCTAACTAGTCCAGCCCCAGCATTGGACGACTAGCATTACCAGCATTGGACGCCCAGCATTGGACAACGGATATTTCCCACCTCCTCTTTCCCACCTCCGCTTTCCCACTTTGAGCAGATGCGCTCGTTGCTTGGGTGGCGGAGAGCGAAGGCCGCGTGTACGCGACGGACCGATTCATCTTCAACAAGACAACCGCGGGAGTCGCGTTGGACGATCAGCAGGACTGGAAGGTGCTGGGCGGCAGCCAGACCACCAACCAATCCACGGGCGACACGTGGACCACCGTGCACGTGTGGCGCCACCTCGACACGGGAGACTGCAACGACCGTCCGATCGTGCCTGGGAAGCTTCACAGCCTCATCTGGGCCGTTGGTTCCACGGATGACGTCAGCTACCATGGCTCCACCCGCGGCGCGTCCTCTCTCGTGCTCGCTCCAGCTCCCGGCCCCTCAATTCTCTCCCCACCGCCTCCCTCCTCCGCTTCTGGATCGGATTCCGGTACTGCTGCTTCTGGATTGATTGGCCGTTTAGCAGCACTGCAGCAGCAGCAGCAGGAGCAGAAGCAGCAGCAGCAGAGCATGCTCAATGTCA